GGTTAAGTAAAGGTCAATAAATAAATCTGTCAATCCATCCATCATTAGTGTTCTAACCAGTTCCAAACATCCACATATCAGTTTTCATAATATTTACATACAGCTGACAAAACTGACAAAAGTTATTTTCTTTATGTCACCATTGTTTGGCACAGAGTTAGTTTATGTTCTGAAGGCTGCATGATGTTGTGTCATTTTGTATTGAGTGGACCTGTCATTAAATCAGGCAAAGAAATGCCTCCTAAATTCACTGTTGGTGGTTATCATTACCTGTTGTACCTTTACCATTGGGTAAAGTATTTAATGTTCTTAGTTTTAAACGTGCAGTTGAGGGCAGTAGTGTGCACAGACATTTTCGGGGGCATGTGCTCAAATGGAAAAAGAGGGCACCTTGTCCGGTGCACGGAATCAGCAGCTGTCCTAATAATGTGACATTACAGACACATCTTGAACATWGTGCATATTTATCTATTTTAAATCMGATTTTTTTCCATCTGATACAGATGTTTAATATTCAACACTCTACAGTTTGGTTTCTGTAACAAACTGGCAACAACAGAACAAAAACTAGTAATGACAATTTTTGTAGTGTTTATAAAATAACTAATAATAATAATAACAAATCAATTTTATTTTCTCAAAATTACTAATGTTTTTTTTTGTTCAATGGAGGATCTTCCTTCAGTCATAGAGCTGCTTCCATGATCTGAATTCTAATGATTCAGCTTCATCTGTGTCTGATGGAGGATGGCAGGAAAACATAGAGCTGCTTCTCTGCTGTAGCTAAAACACCAACAATATGAAATGTGTTTATTTGAGTKAAACGGCTTGGTGACAAAGGTCAGTGCAATAAATTACAACAATTAAACTAATCAGACTCTAAATTACTGTCAAAATGTAACTCTAACACAGGGGGGTCRAATTCACAAGGGAGCGAAAGTTCCACACTTAGTCCAGATCAAGAGACRAYTTCTGTTAATATTTATTGAAACAAAAACAAATTATTCTTATGATACTAATTTTATTTTCCAAATTATGGTTTATGTTGCATTTAGAGCATGCAAAACCTGACAAAGAAGAGATTAAATTTAAAAAGAACTCATTGTTAGCATTCATTATTC